GTGAGAGCCGATCTCTCTTCATTTCTCTAAGAACTCTAATAATGGGGTGGCGGGGGGGGGCAGCTGCAAAAGTAGTGGCCAGCATCGATCTAATCTGACTAACTTTGAGAAACTTCAAGAAGAAAGGTTCAAATGAAGCAATCTGAGCATACACCTTTGCTGGTCCAAGTTGGCGGTACTGTAGAGCAATGTTGACAGCAAAATATTTTGTGAAAAGAAAATAGTTTATAAAGTTGCAAACGAAACAAGTAAAGTTTGAATTTGACAGAAAATTACACAGCAAAGTGAAGACATCGTTGACCAAAGTGGCGCAATACCCAAAACGACACTGATAACGCCTCGTAACGCATGTCCCCCATGCGTTCAGCAGCAGCCACTGCGTGCTGACAGGGCAGAGACATTTCTGCAACCAAACGCATGATCATGCAGCCTATGTGACGCCTTGCAGCACGCTCCAGAAGAGCTATTCGCGCCTCTCCCTGCTGCCCCGCGTGGACGCGAAGCAGCGAAATCCTCTTGCGCAAGTGCAAGAGCATTCTTGACCTTTGCTTTGAATACACTGACGCAACCTGTTTGGATAGTAAAATAAGCATTAGAATAAGTCAAACAGCCCCACCTTACATACACTTACCATCAATCGGGTTTTACATTGGCGAGTAGGACGCCAAGCGAAGCAAGACGAGATCTTCATGCTCCGCTACGCGCGCCTCCGTCTGATTATGTGCTGGGGCGCTATCCGCACAGCGACAATCTCTTTGTCGTAAGAAAAGGCTTGGTAGGTGCCTGAGGCCTTCACTTTAGCATAGCTCTCCTCGACAAAAGCAGCATTTTGCTTCATTTTTATGCTGCCGCGCTCCAGGCGGTAGTGCACCAAGCCAGTTCTCGCTGATACGGCACATTGGATCTGCAGATTTGGACCTTTGGACGGGGGTAAAACCAGCGTAGCTCGCTCTCCCTTTTTGGCGTGCCCTTGGCTTCGTATGCAGTGCAACGTTGAAATTGGTTTCACCATAGTACACTACGAAGTCTCCGTCAGCCATATGGGCTCTAAGTTCTTCAGCAAACGCCTTTCTCTTGGTCTTATTGGCTTCATCATTGCAGGTTTGGGGCTCCACGCGGACATGTATACATGGTATACTCATACATTTAGCTTGTGAGTGTACAGAAATACTCAATTGTAATGTAACCTTGTTGTATACCTGCTTCAGCATGACCCGGTTCCGCGTCAGGTTTTTGCTGATGGTGGACAAGCTCAGTCGCATGCCTAAGTCGTGTAGCATCGCGGCTTAGGTGACACGAAAAGAGATATAGGGTGTCTGACATCGCACAGAGACTTAGCGTGGCAGCTTATGACATCAAGTAAAAAAAGAACGACTCTGTATCTGGGTCTCTTCGCTTGCCGATTTTAAAGGCCGTACACGTTTGTACGAGCTATGCGAATGCCGCGGTGCTAATAGGCGCTCAATTAGATGAGTTTTTAGTGCTTGTTAAGGTGATTTGTATCAAATCAGAGGAGAATGTCATCGTATCAGCCCATAAGATCATTGTAACATTTTTCGCGTGCTACACACAATAAAAAAACGTGGGACAGAGAAGTAATACAAATCCAGCAATCCCCGAATTGCCCGAGTTCATTGCGGCTGCTTACGATCTGAGACTAGCAAGAGAGCCGCAGGGTGAAATTGTATCCAAAGGTCCGACAGATCCATAACAATCACCGGGAAACATCTAGTGCTAAGTTTGAAAGTGGCATCTAAGTGGAAAAAAAAATCAGATGCTCGATCGAGTTTCTTGACAAGTAATTTGGTCGTTTAATCCAACAACTAGAGGGTTATCTTCAACTCCTTTACCAATTAATGTCTCTCCATTGACGTCAAGAGCAAATCCAAACGTAGATGATGTAGTTTCAGTGCGGCCATCCCGATAATAGTGCTTGTCAGCGTTTACAGCCATCACGTCGACAAAATCGTTGTCGATTTTTACGTTTGTTCCTGTAGGTTCGTACTACACACTGTACGTTTGGCAGAAGGTTTTAGGGTCGGTCTGCGGCAACCCGAAATCAACAACCATTTTGTGGATTACCACGACCGTCTGGCCTTCGCACACGACGTTTGAGCGCTCAAACGGCTATTTCTTGTAAGCGAAGACTGCTCGGTGCTCTCGCCGACAACCAAGCGCCCTCGGCGAGGGACAGCCGCAGATGAGAGCAGGACACACCACGAGCGCCGGCTCCATCTCGCAAATGTATAACACTGATGGTGTATGTTGTTTTGTGTCAGGGCACTTCCGTTTTACTTTACTTGGGTTAATTTTTCTTTTTTTAAGAAGTTGAATGACAAATTCGGATAAGGCAATTGGGATTCTTGGCCTGTAAAAGGAGGCATGTCCTGTGAAGGCTACATACGATCTGTGAAATTGACGCACTCTATATCAAATGACCATCTTTTTCTGTGATTATCACGCGCTCTCCTGGTTTTGCTTCATCAGAGAAAGAGTGTGTGGGTTTGGTCCACACCCAACCTGTTGAATGGGCCATAAAGCGGGTCGCTCGGCGTCACACTGTATGTCGATGTTACAAGTGCACTGACTATGTGTGTACACGGCGCCTAGTACCTGTGTCTATTGATGGCCTCATCGCTAATCAGCTGACAGCCTACTGGTGGTGAACGGATTGCTTGCCGGGCAATGCCGACAGCTGTTCTGGGAGAGCTCTGCCAAATTAAGACATGTAGTTTTTTTTTAAATTGATAAAACGGGAGTGACTAGGACGAGGACTAAGGAACCCGTCTGCTTGATGTGCTTTCAGTGCGGCTGTTGGTAGGCGATATGTACTTAATGGTATAGAGCACTTTGAGGCTGGTGAACCTGTAATCGACAATACTGAAGGAAATTGCTCTCGTCTTAACTTAAAATACTCTGCGAAACATCGTGCTGTGCGACTCCACGCCAGCACGGATTAGCCTGCAACTTGCTCATGGCCTATTTTGTCTAATCAGCTTATTTGTGGCCCTTAATGATAAGTGTGGCCTTTGTTGTGGAACCTCGTCGTGGAGCGAATGCACAAATGTAAAGGTTAGCTCTGGACGTATACAGAACTGACCTGATTTCCGGTCTGATGTTTGTCTCACCAACAATCAGAGGGAGGATATGAAATGGTGATGAAAGTGGTGAGGCCACGGATGTGGGGTCAGTCAGGAAAATGCGTCAAGGTGTGAACGTGGGTGCCCTAGAGGGAAATAGCGACGCTGGTGAGAAGCTACGTGCACTTGATGTTGATAAATAGGTCGACAGTGAAGCTGACCCGCACTGTCGGGAAAAATGGTGGACAATAACTCCGGAGCTACCGAGACGGACTTGCAGCAGCCTTAACAATTAAAAGGCAGGCTCAATAATAGCAGGACCGCGGTGTCAAGACGTGCAGAGCGAATAATCTGCTACGCTAGGGGGTACAAGTACGTGCGTGCATCGCTCTCGCAGCGGAAGATTGGGTATCGCTGTTCTAAGTATCGGGTAGGCTGCGAATGAAAGATGGAGCGCACGATTGATGTCACGGGCTACACTACCGTAATGACGCATATTTGCGACGGCAACGCCGTTGCAAGCTCCGTCAGAATCGCTGAAGACGAAATGAAAGCACAAAGTGATCTTCTGGCGATTAAGAACGTAGCGTGACCGCCTCGTCAAGGTTGGGAGGAGCTTCGACGTCGGGTTTCAGGCCGTGACAACCCCGACGTTGTACGTAAATTATCTGATCCAAGCGATTCGGTGTGTTCATCAAGCGAGGAGCCAGCACTACTCTGGCAACGTACAGGAATCAATAGCTATCCCATCACTCTCGCTCACATCTGGCGAGGAAACGTCATTCTTCCAGTTTCAGTTTGCGTCGATAAACTACGAGGTGTGACTTAAACCTAGGTGTCTGCTGGGTTGGGCTCACCCAGCATTAGTAGCCTTGATACTCTACCACGGGACGATGCTATTTAACTTTAGCAAGGTTAAACTCTGTAGGCTAGCGCTGAGGTGCGTGGACGCCGCGGATGTGGATGCTTAACGCGGTGCAACGCCGGTAGCTGGCTAAATGCACGCAACCCCCAAATTGCGCCGAGTACAACTGCGCTTCTGGTGCAGATTGTGAGAACGGACTCCGTGAAAAAAAATACCTGGGTATCGCGGGTAGTACGAGGAATGGGATGGGCAGTGGGGTGGCGACAGCAGCTATTCGCGAAGAAATGGGCAATTTTTTGGCAGGATAAAGGTATTTGCGCTCCACGCAAAAATGATACCGTGAATAGCGGGTATTTGATGCTTCTCAAGAAGAAATCTACGTATAACAAGCGTGTTGACACAGATGGCGAAGCCACTGGTGGGAAGGGGCTTCGCATGCAAGCCGCCTCTGTGAAACCCATGCGCACATTTCCATGAAGTACAAGTGGGGCGACGTTTCACCGCTGTTGTCGTCACTGTATGTGACGTATTTCCGGGAGAGCAAGTCACCGTATCTTACGGGAACAGTATCTGGTTCTTGTGCGGGTTGGGTGCCAGCACCGAGACTTTCACCACGTCTTGCCAAAACAAGAGCCGAGGATGACGAGAGCGTTGAACCATCCGCCTACAGCGCTGTAGTCAGTTCTGCTGATTTGCTGCAAAAATGGAGACTTGCTGCGTTTAGGTTCGAGTCTTAGGAAACTACTACTTGTTTGTGAAGAGAAGATTGTTGTCAATTCCAAACCGTATCGGTAAATAAGCCAATACCGGTACTCAGACTACCGGTAAATACTTGAAAGATTGTTTTAATCGACGTACACCACAGCTATTATTGTTTTAACCAATCGCGGACGTTTTTGTCGCTGACTGGCCATGAAACAGCACTATCGACTGCAGCAATGGCGTCGGGTGTGATGCGCGGCGTGCTCAAGCGCAAGCTGCAGATAGAGCAGGAGGGTGCCGCTGTCACCAAGAAGCAGCGCGTGTACAAGGACACAGTCACGGCTGTGGATGTGATGAACAAATTGTTGTCGCCCGATGGAGATGTAGGCTACGACGTGACGGAGGACGAGTGGGAGCAGCTAGTGCAGCTAACGCAGAAGAGCGAGCGCTTCGAGAAGCTCTTCACCTTCCCGGAAGACGAACCTGGCTGGGTCACTACAAAGAGCAAGAAAAAAAAGACACACCTTAACATTGTGGCTGTCGATTGCGAAATGTGCGTCACGCAAGATGAGAGTAATTGTGAGCGCAAGACCAACGCGCTGTGCCGCGTATCCGCAGTGGACGGTGAGCACATGCTGCGAAATATCATCTCAGACTTCATTGTACACCAACCTGAGCCTGGCTTCCACATGGTCGACCCGAAGACGGACATCCACGGCATCACGCCACAGCAGATCGCCAGCTGCAAGATCACTGTGGCTCAGGCGCAGAAGAAGATGCTCAAGTACATTAACAAAGACACCATCGTGGTGGGCCACTCGGTGTACGGCGACTTGGCTAGTATGCGTATCAACCACCGACGCGTCATCGACACGGCGCTCATCTTTCAACGTAAAGACGGCAGTCCGTCCCGTGCGACGCCCGGACTGAAGGATCTCACAAAGTTCTTGCTTGGCTTTGACATGCCCCAGGGCCACGACAGTACTGTCGATGCTCAAGCGTCCATGATGGCCGCCAAATATGCTGCTCGACATGAAACCGGAAGGATCATCCCGTCAGCTCTGGAGCTGCATGGACCTCGTGTTAAGGAAACTCGCGGCGAAGTTGCAAGGACTATGGAACGAACAGAATACACGGGTCCTGCTGTGCTCGTTGCGACAGCCTACCAACCGGGAGAACCTGGTAAACCCGTCCCCGTAAAGATCCCTGTGAATGACGCGTCCTACATTGACATGGCCGCCATCGAGACAACAGCCAGGAAACACAAGAGTGAAGCTATGATCGCACGTTCCTGTCGCTTGCGTTTGCATCGAATTCCGAAGGGTTTGTCCAGTAAAGACATCGAAAAGTGGTTTTATGAGAACACCCACATCGTGCCTACCGCTGTAGAGAAGATTGTCTGGCTGCCGAACCAAAACCGTGGCTCGTGTAACGTGACTTTCTCGACCAACGCTCATGCAGCTCTGGCCTTCGAGAGTGCCCAAGGTCCGAACGGTAAGACCAAGATCACCAACGATTCTATCGGTCGCCCACAGAAAACGATCGCTATCGTCAGCTACATGGGGAAAACATACAAGAATGTGGCACTTGGGGTTCTATAGACTAAGCTAGGAAACCAAGCAACGACCAAATTCATAGTATTGCGGAGACCGGACCATGCTGCTAAAATCCTTGCATGATAAATAGAGATTCATGTTTTCACGTTTCAGCTGTGGCCGGCTTGTTACTTGGAGAATCGAAAGCACCTGAATATGATGCAGTTGAAGCTAGAAGCAGCTTCTTTTTCGTTGCGGCTGCTCGTTTGAAGAATTTAGCGTCCTTTTCAGCAGTGTATCGGCGTTGGTCGTCGATGAACTGCTGCTCTTGCTGAAGCTTGAAAATCTCCCTCCTTTCCTTTTCGATCAGCCAATTCTGTAGTTTTGTTTGCTTCTCGATAGCTTTTCGCGATAATTCAAGTTCCTTTTCGACAGTTATAGCAGGTGTGGCTTGCATGTCGTTTTTCCAGCACTCTCCATTGTTGCTCGTATCGATGCTGGATGAACGACCTCGTACTCGATAAGCAATGTCCATGGGGCCTGGCTGCTTAGCTACCAGTCCAGAAGGTGTGAACGACCCGAATGACCGAAGCTTCACCGCTGCAAAATTGAATCAAAGGTTAGATGCGTAATAAAGGAAATAGGAAGATAACGTGTCTAACGTACGCGGGCGAGGTCTTACAATAGTGCCTCCACTAGATGCCCTGTTACTTGTTGATAGTGGGGAAAGAGATGCACACAATGGCGGAAGGCTAGGACTGGCATGAACCCCCTGGAAGAGTCTCGTATGGATCGCTTTGAGCTCCTCTTCCTCGATTTCGAACCGAAAAAAACGGTCTGAGGCATCTTTCAGCTGATGTACGGTAGTCTCGAAGTGCTGCACATGACTAGAGTAAGTATGATTCTCTTAAACGAGCTCAGGTGAGTGTTTCCACTAACCTGCTTTGCCTGTAGAATTTGTGGGTCGACAGTGGCTTTCAGTGCCATAGTGTTATCTTGTGACGACTGCTGCATTCGAAGCTTGTCGAGTTCTTTTTGCAGTTTGTCGTTCTGGTGCCTAAGCTCAGTGTTTTCGTGAACTAAGCGAACGACTCGACTTTTCAACCCTGTAGAGGATGCATCATCATTCATGACGTGATCATCATTATTGTTACCAGTATCGCCTTCGTCTTCGCCATCATCTTCGTTTGAAGTATTGGGGAGTCGGAGTAGCCTGACAACTTCACGCAACTGCTCAAGTTCTTCTTGCAGTTTTTCCACGTACGCTGGATCGATCTCTCGCTGCTCATTGACACGCACCATAACCATAACCTTCTTTGCTCGATCGGCAAATTTCAGAGTGGAGATGGATTCTTCCACACAGTCTAGAGATGGTGACAACGTCGCAATTATCTTGGTTTTGGTATTGCCTCCCAGACTATCTTGAAGCAGTCTAGTTAGCTTTGAGTCACGATAGGGTACGTGAGCAGACCCGCCTGTTGACTTGCTGGACAACGAGGCGATACATCGTCCAAGAGTGTGTAAGCTTAGGTTAATGTTCGTCATCTCCGAGATGTGGTGTTCTCGCATTTCGGCGCCCGTATTCCATTTCTCAGAGCCAGCAAGATCAACGAGATTGAACTTGGACTTCAGAAAGGTACCATCCTTTCGTCTCTGCTCGAGGAGCAGCTGGAAAACACTGTGACTTCGACTACTTACTTGGTTCATGTGAGTAGAACGCACAGCTCGGTTCTGTTCACCACATTGCAGCAGCTGCAGACAGTCACTGACGCTTCGTACTGCGTATTCGGACAGTCCTTCGACAAATATTCCGTTCTTACGGTCTTCATGAATCTCCAGAGGTGTGTTCATTTGAGTATCGCGCAATAGATCGAAGATGTGTTCATTATAAACTTGTACGAACGAGCAGTACACTGTTGCTTGAGCGTCCGCCTCCATTTGCACAGTAGCTGCAAAAATATCCTTGATAGCACGCGGGATTATACCTGCCTGGCTGTTCTGAAGCCCTGGTCTGTACCGCGATAGGTCCGTCTCAGCACCAAACATCGTGAAAGATTTACCACTGCCAGTTTGCCCGTAAGCGAAAAGTGTCGAGTTAAAACCCTCGAGAAACGATTGAGTGCACTCATGCACCCGCTCATATACTTGCTCTTGTGAAATTGTGTGGTCGAAGACGGCATCGTACGCGCACGTAATTGTGGATTCGGCCGTGCGGACTTCAATGGTCTTACCGTAGAAAACCCACAAGAATTACGATTCAAGCTAGTTCAAAGCCACAAAAACAAGAACGAACCTGGTGATTGGTCGCACGGATGGAGTGAGATCCAGCACATCGCTCTTGAGAAGTCTCGCGCTCAATTAAAGGACGAATGCGTACAAAGACTTGGATGTTCTCAGATGTTCCGCCTCGGCGAACAATAGGAGCATTGGCAGCCTCAGATTTTGATTCTGAAATTGTAGGAGAACCTGTTTCTGGTAAATAACTCTTGTTTGTCATGGCGATGTCGACCTTACTCTTGGTTGCTGACTTTTTCTCCCCTCGTTTCTTTGATCGACCAGACTTAGTAGGGAGTGGCACCGCTTCGCAGTTGATGAGCTCGCAAAAATGCTGGACGCCTGAGTCGGACCACGACTGGCCGCACGGGCACGTGGCTGAAACAAGCTCTCGTAGCTCCGGAATCGTCCTTGGTGTAGCAATCAAGACTAAATTTGTCTTCAAAAGTTGCCTTTACGTATGCCACATCAGCTTAGGCTCAACTGACCATCACTCTTTGATTTCCGTGGCTCCACCAATTCCGCACTGGAGCTTCGCCCAAGTATGACCGAAGGCTTCGCGTGGGACGCCGCGCTGTCGCTCGTGCGATGGCAACGCACGCGACGCGGCTACGAAGGTGATGCCGCCCTGCTACAAACCGGCGTAGCTCTTTTACATCCCGACACTGATGGGAAGTTCGGTCCTCAGTCCGCTCTGAGCCGCGCTGAGCGCACCTTTAACCTATCGTGGCAACGTGTGGCATCCGAGGTGTTGCAGCTCGCCGTGTTCCTGATCACGAAGGCCAAGTGTGACGATCCACAGCAGACCCGCCAAGCGCTGCGCCTGCTGCAATTGGCACTCAACGTCTTCTCTGTCAAAGGCGACGCCCAGCTCGCGACGCTACCACTTAACTCGTGCAATTTGCTGCTCTCGGCGTTGGCCGAGACACTGGAGAAGGTCCAACAGGACGAAGACACTCTACAGACACTACAGGACGTCAAGGCTGTCTTTCGGTTTCTTTTTGGCCTCTCTAGCGAGGATACGACGGCCAGTTTTCAGATGTATCGCCCGCCGACGAACGTGTATGCGAATTTTCTAAAGCAAGCACTGACGGCGGTATTTGAAGCACTAGAGATGCTTGAGAAGAGGGAAGACGAGGAGACGACGCTGCAGCAGAGATTGTTCGTGGACGTGGTGCACACAGCACTGTTCGTGCTCCAGGAGCTGCAGAAGACACAGACGAACAAGAAGAAGGTCTTCATGGCTATTTCTAAGACGTCGTTGAGGGATATTGTAGCACATCGTCATGCTCTTGTGACGCTGCAGAAGCAGAGCGTGTCTGGTGTAGAAGCTGCGATGGCTTTGCTGGACCGCGTCGTGGAGGACGCGCTGTTCGATGCTGAACACATTCGCCAGTATGACGGTGCTATGGTGCACTGCGTCATTTGGAAGAAACATGCCGAAAAGACTGACGCAGAACAAGAAGAACAGGATGACAAGAAGTCGAGAAAGCGACGGAAGGCAGGTGGCGCCAAGGCGTCGACAGGATTGGTCTCCTACCAGAAGAACCTCTTCGACGAGCTGTTGAGCTTGTTGTCAGATAAAGCGGTACAGCTGGACGTGAAGGCTTCTGTTGGTGGCTTGTTTGAGGTACTCGTGCGTGGTTTCGCTACCCGCATCCGGGCTGCTGCCAACTTGAAAATCGAGGATACAAAGACGGATCTGAAGACAAGTCGGAAGCGTGCGGCCATTGTTATTGCTACCACGTCAACTACGTACTCACCATTCAAGTTCTGGTCTGAGCTGTGTGCCGTGGCCTATTCAGCTTTCCAACAGGCGACAGAGAAGAATGAGTTCCTGCCGGTTCTGGTTACCCTGTACAACGCCTTGTTCCGCGCGCTGTGTGAGTGTGATGTGTACCGTGTGACGGAAGACACGGAGGAGCGCGAACAATTTCAAACGATGGAGAAAGTTCTTTCGTCTTTTCTGGATGTGCTCAATGTGGAGCACGGCGACGAAGTTTCAATCGATGCTGATCGAGCTTCAGAGGAGTGTGAGATTGTGTCCAGTGCGGTGCGGTGCTCCCCAAATCTCGTGAACTGCTGCCTCGTGCCAATTTTCGAGCTGCTCGGTGCACAGGCTGTCAGAAGCTACGAAAATGATGGAAATATCCTGGTTGCTGGGGCTTCCAGCAACTCAGTGGTGGAATTGATTCATGCGTATGATTCCATGCGTCTCCTGGATGTGTTTTTGAAGGCTGCTTTCGCGACTCAACGTGCTCATGAAGGCTTGTACAAGCTGTTTGCGCTTCCTTCGTGTGAAGCTAGTCTTCGCAAAGCGTTTATGGCTCTACCACCAGGTCAGATAGACGTACTGTGGAAGTTACTTGTGGAACAGATCGCATCGCTTGCATCAGGCAACAATGGTATTGAGGTGGCTGTAGCGCGCTTGCTCTTTCAGACTTTTGTCCAAGAAATTCATGTGGTACCTCAGAACCGCACTAAGGTCTTGGGGCTTGTATCCCATACGCACGAGAAGCTGCTTTCTGCTTTTGCTGATGAGCTGGGCCAAGACACTGTTTCATTTACAGCATACCAGCGAGAGTTATTCTGCGTGTTTGGAGAATTGCTGATGTTCGACTCTGTGCTAAACGCTTCCGTTCGCGAACAAACATTCGATCAGATGTTTGCCAAGCTTGAAGGTGATCGATTTGGTACGGTGATGGAGCAACTTCTGAGTACCACGTCATCTAGCACCAAGAGGAGGACGACGAAAAGTAGCAAGGCCAAGTCCTCCGATGGCGTGGCAAACAACGTCAGCTCGAGTCATGGGCTTGGTGCTGCGGGAATCGTTAAACTCTGCGTGTACTGGCTACGAAAGATTGGGATGCCGAATGGTGCACCAGATGATAGCGTTCGAAAAGCTCGTAAGGGACGGGAGAAGGTTACTCGTTTGGTTGTGGAGTACGTTATGAGCTGGAAGTGCTGGGAAGCTGTAAGCTTTCATTTGCCAGAACTTATGGCAAATGCGAGCAACGACGACTGTGATCGCTTTTACTGCGAAATGTTGAATGGTTTCATTATCGAAGCGGTATCGGGAGAACGCGATGGATCAGCTAGTCGTATCATTGGCGATGCTGGGTTTTATGAAATTGCAAGTTTACGGAACGTTGCAACCAAGACGCTGACCACCTTGGCAAAACAGTTCGTGGACGAAGTAGAACATGGGTCATTAACGAGCCTGGAGAGGTCTCTTCGTTTTTTCAGCTTCTTGTTGGAACTTCCGGACAGTTACCTGAAGCCTGAGGAATGTGGAGATCTATTGGCAACTGTGTTATCTCTCTACAAGGCAATCAGAACATCGGAAAGTGATACCACTCACAAGTCTGAAGTGTGCCAGGCTTTGTTGACCTGGACTCGGCAACACTTTAAGGCTGTTGGTAAGGAGGTGCACAAGTCGCTGCCAAAACTTGTGGAGCAGCTACATGGCGGAGCTCGCTTCATTTTCTCTCAGCTTGTCGTGGACAATGCTGTTAGCGTTTCTCTCGTTGCGGAAGTGCTTGCATACTATTTGCATATCGGCTCCAATACTGTTGTTGGCGAGCTGCTGAGCAGTGTTTTGAGTGGTACAACTGCAAAGAAAGAGCCTGCAGAGGATTTGAGAAAGTTAGAGTGCGCTGCCATGGTGATGGAGGCACTGGCTGCGTACGTTGGACCTACATCAGGTCGTTCGAAGGAGCAGATCGATTTCATTGACGGCGTTGTCGATGTTGTAACCAGCCAAAAAATGTGGGAGGAAGCAGATAGTCCCCTGTCTTTTAAGGTCCTTACAGCTCTCCTCAAATACCAGTCGGTTCTCCACAAACGAGCCCGCACCAACAAGCATCAGCCAGCGACACTTGCCGATAATCATGTGATGCCATTGCTCGTAAAGCACATCGGAGACTCATTGGCATCTTCGATGAAGCTGGCTGTTGCACCCAGTGACTCCAGTGCTGATATTAAGCTCCAAGAAGCGGCCTGGTCGTTTTTCGCGAGCTTTTGTAAAGAGTATGCTTCATTCCGCGCGTTTGTGACTCCTCTGGAGACGTATGGCTGTCTACTGGCAGTGTCGCTTTCACTGGCTTCGAGCAATCAGCATGGACAAAAGACGGAGCTAGCTTTGCAGACCGTGATAGCCAACGCGAACAAAGATGAATTTCGTCTACTGTTGTCAACGATTGTGCAGGAACTTGTAGCACATGAAGACAAGCGGAAGATGGGTGCACTGCGTGCTCTGTGCTTGCTGCTAAGTGGAGACCGAAAGCTTAACTCATCGCGACGTCAACTTCTGAATGAGCGGAAGGAATCAATCGTTGAGGCCTTGCTTCAGAACTTTGCTGTGCAGTCCATGCAGGTCGATGCAGTAGCATCGTCTGCCTTACTGCGCGTTTGGAACTTGAAAGCCTTTGTGTTGGTTTTCTGCAAGGCTGAGCTGTTCACGTGGAAAACCCACGAGCTTCAGTACGTCTTCACGGGATTCCAACCGCTGATGGCAGCGGTATCATGTTGGCAAGCTGGAACGAACCCGTACGAACCATCAGAACTGCACGAGCTATGGACGCTTTCGTACACTCTGCTGCTGCGTATCGTGCGTAACCACTTCGCGTCACTGGTAAATGGTATTCCCCATCTCGTTCAGGCAGCAAACGCGCTTCTTCAGCTGCTTGTACTGACTTCCGCTAGCTCGAACTATTCGAAGTATTGCTCCGAATGGAGCTCAAACTTGGCACGTTTGTACGGGTACATGAAGGAGCACGACGTCCAACTCCGTAAGCACGTTGTGTATCTCCTGATGGCATTCCTTCTGGGTGTAACACGCGACAAACTGGCTGTGCGATACCAGCAGAAACTGCGCCCCGGCGTCTACGCATTGCTGGACGTGTGCTCACCGTACGAAAAGGAACAGCTTTTCGGCGCGTTGGATTCCACTGGCAAGTCACTACTCAAGACTCTGGACACGAACTATAAGCTCACACATCGCTACGTGGGCAAAGTCTAAGGTAGCAGGTGCGAATTTGTATAAGGCTAAACGGTGCTATCCTCTTTTGTTAGAGCTAAACCAGGTCCCAGCGACTTTCGCCAGTTTGTTGATTGTAGTAATATGTACTACCGCTGGCAGGATCGACACACGGAATCCACGGTGACTCTGATGGCGCTTGCACTCTGGTTTCTACGAGTTGCGGCAGCGCTGTCAAATGCCTGTACGTCGATGAGTTATTTGCGGCGTTAGCTCGACGGCGTAGTCCGTGTATCGACGCTGTGGACGAGGTCGATGCTGTCGATGGGCGGTCGCTGTAGTAATCTCGAGTCGAGAGTCTGTCTATTGTGTCTTCGTAGTCGCTCCAGGGGCTTGATTCGTTGTTTGCGCCGCCGTTACGGTATCGCCTAGCGCGAGCTCTGGCAATTGGCGATGTCGACAGAGACGAATCGATCGAAGACGTCGGTGACGCGGGCGGGCTCGAGGAGTATCCCGAATACGCTGATCGCTGCGGACTTGCAGCACGACGTATAGCAGCCGCGGCAGCCACCGATTTGAACACTGGTTGCAGTACTTCATCGTCGTCCTCGCTGTCGCTGCTAATGAGAGAAGATACGTCGCCATCGTGGTTGTTGTTCGAACGGTTGATCCTATCGGGAGCTGCTGCGACCGAGAGTTGCAACTCTCGACGTTGTCCTTCACGAGCCGCTAACGCATCGGATAGTGCTGATGCAGCAGAAGAGGATGTCGGCCTCCGTGTTCGGTTGATCTTCTTCTCCGTCGAAGCGGACAAAGGTGGGAGCTGAGGACGACACAAATATCATGAAGGTGAGTTGAGATTAACAGATTTCTGCTATCTAATGGCATTCAAACCTTTTTAGGTGCCGGCGGTGCGCGCGTCAAGTCTTCTATCGTCGTTGGAGGAACGCGACCAAGCAAATGCTCGGCTCTCGGAGCATCTATTGAAGTCCTGTCCGCCTGAATCAAAATATATGAACATCGTTAGGAGACGGTAAGCAATAATGTTGCCTAAAAAAGCGTCATACATGCTGCAGAAAGAGCTTGAGAGCGACGAACAGCAAGCTTCCAATATGCGCCATGGCCAAGAAAAATGGAGCGCGCAGCAAGTTCCAATGTACGGTCCCACCCTCCGGGTTGATAGCAGATTCACGTAGCCTCGCGTTGAGCCTTGCACCGATTGCTCCAATGAGCGCGACAAAGCTTGTGGAGTATAACGACATGTTTGCTCGTATCCGCGCCGCGAAGCAGTCACGGTGTGCAACGCTAGCAGCACCCACAAGACAGCAGCATTGACAGGAACAGAGCGACAGCTGGACAAGTGCAGCGAACGAAACACCCAGAGCCGTCAGTATCGGCAGATACACATACGACGTCGTGAGCGAACTGGACAGATACGAGCCGTAGAGCGCAAGTGTGAGCTGCTCGTTGGTCAAGTGATGATCCACGATACCACCGAAGACGAAGAACGTGCAGACGGCACAGAGTACAAACGCCAACTGGTATACGGCACAAATTCGCCTTCGCGTGAGCTCAAGTAGCAACACGATACCCAACGCCGCAAGCACCAAAACAGCTCCCAGCAGATCATCGATAATGTGGACTCGTCGATGGCCCTCGGCCGAATCGAACGTGCTCATGCCGGTGAGCCTTGCCAAACACTCTGAGGCGATTGATTATCCGCTCCAGCGTTTGTGGCTCGAAGGCACAGTCGATTGGTGCTAAAATAGTACGGTAAGACCATCTTGCCCAACACCGAGGGCGTTATGCTCACAATTCGAGCTGGAGGAGACCAAAGATAGAAGAAGAAAATGGGTGGGGGATCACCACTATCGTAGATGAGGAAGACCTGATATGGTTTCTCGAATTTGGAGAATCGTCAGAACACAGTGGATTCGTTTCTGGTGGTCCTGCAGTGAAAGGTCGAGATGCGACCCTCGACCGAAATCTGGATCCGCTATATCTTCATTTCTTGAACTGCTCCGTGGACTGCAATGAAAGTCGAGCTGCTAGTGATTGCGCTCTTAACGCAGCTGATACTGCATTGTCTCGCCACGAAGTTTGATCTACACAACTTCCGTCCGACAGCTCGAGTTGACTTGAGTGAGGTCGTCGAAGCTGCCACAGGAAATGATTTAGTCACTCCGATCATCTGCGCGAGTACTGCGGCGACTGAGTTTCTGGGTTTCAAGTGCTCGTCCAGCTCAAGCTCCAACTCGAGTTCAAGCTCAAAGCCTACAGCAACGGTGTCTCACACTGCAACGTACGACTTGCACGCATTAGCAATTGGGGACTGGGGAGTGGATCTTGGTCTTGGGTCGTGCTGTAACGTCTATCGTAAGACGGGAACTGGGAACAAGGAATACTACAAGGACCAGCAAGCGCAGGTCAATGTCGCGCACCTACTAACGCTGTCGACCAAGAAACTGCAGCCTAAAGCAATCCTGGGCCACGGGTAAGATATCTTGATATTTAATCTCTTGAAACCTGGAAAATTGTAACACTGGTACCTTTTACAGTGACAACTTCTACTGGAATGGATTGGGATCCGACGATGTAAACTATCGCTTCTTGAACTCGTTTGAGACCATGTACTCGGACCCTGCGCTGCTCAATATCAAGTGGTTCAATGTAGCCGGAAACCACGATATCGGTGGCTCCATGTTCATCTGTGGAAAACGAGACAACCAGTTTGTCGAGTGTTCCGGAAAGACCGACTTACTCAAGCAATTGGACGAGAAGTTCACGAGGCAGAGTAAGTACGTAAGTCCAAACAACGACCGCTGGCAGATGCCCGATCGATACTATGTCGAGACTTTGGAAGACCCGGACTCTGAGGTCACTGTCGATGTCTTCAATATCGACACGAACGCAGCAGCTGTTCACGGTGCTCAGCAAACCTGTTGCCAGTGCTACGGCTATAAAATGAAGTACGGTGGCAGTCAAAGCTGCTCGAATGTGGCTCGCGGGGACGATTTGTGTGCCGGAGGTGACACCGACATGTTCGACGCCTGCATGGCTCAGATCGAGGCGTGGCAAGCTGATTCTTTGAAACAATTAGCTCGAGATGCTGCCAAATCGACAGCCACGTGGAAAGTGGTGAATACGCACTACTCGCCTCATTTCCACATGGACCCAACAATGATGGCAGAAGTGAACAGCATTCTCAAGAAAAGTGGCATCCATCTCTTCATGAATGGCCACACCCACGCTGAAAGCCACGAGTTCGGGTCTTTCAACACGCACTTCGTGACGAACGGAGCTGGCGGTGGCATCCAGAGCGAAAGTATCGGCGAACCACCTCCGTACGCCATTGATATCAAGCCAATCTGGCGAGGCGAGAATGCGCCGTACGGCATCTTCGAGCTTTCGTTCGCGGCGAACCAGATGAAGTTGCAGTTCGTGACTTTTGATGACGACTGGGTCTTTGCTTCGAATAAAGGCAACACTGTCAAGGGTGGAGCCAAGTTGGGCCACTGCTGGCTTATTCCCAAGGACGGATCGCTAGGTGAGGCGTGCTAGAGAAATATTTCAACACAATTTCATTTCATCGTACACTTTATGACCGCACGGACATTTTTGATCGTACATAAAATGTACATTTGTATTGTAAGACATAGCCAGGCCAGTATTATCCATGGAGTTCCAGGAGTGCTACTCACTGCTGGCCTCGCGCCCTGCACACGCCCACGAGCACTGTGAAGAGGAGAAGCATGCAGAAGACAAGCCACAGGATGTGGATGCTCTCAAGGAAGACGCAACTGTCGACTCCAACGAGCCGGAGAATCTGTCGCTGCTGAGCGTCCGAGAGCTGGCGCGGACCTTTCACAAGCTGCAGGAGATGCGCGTCCAGATTTATGCCGAATTCAGGCAGTGCGTCATGTAAATACTTCTCGTGCTTGGAACATATTTAACTGGGTTATGTGGTACAGGGGCTTTCTAGTACACCAGAAGACGGAACTCTTCCCTACATTTTGTGCGTCCAATATTTGCAACTTTTTATAATTTGTACTGACAATTTTTTTTGCTGCAGGCTCTGGGATTACAGAGCGGTTTTCGGCGGTTAGCGAGCGGATCAACCACGTGGAAAAGCTGCTGCGAGACAAGAAGCAGCCAGTGATCGCAGACTTAATCCGCAAGATTCAGCTGGAAGAGAAGGAGAAGCTTCTACTGGTGAGATCCATTTAAAAAAAACCTGTTGTGAAATATCGTTGCAGTATTATTGATGTTGCTATTATGTGGTTTGTTGTCAAAGACGTCGGCTGTATTGATCGAGAAGATGCGACTGAGCGACGCGATCAAGCAGCCTGAACCTGATGAGTCTAGTGTTGCCTTCCTAGAGAGATCTGTAGAGACACTCAATAGCAAGCACACCGACTGTGTAGGCCGCCTCAACGAGATTTTAGAGGATCTGGGTGCTGAAAGTGCCGATCTAGAAGACTAACTCAAAAGAGAATCCTCTCATTACGCCTAAATGGTGTGCTTCCGAGGCTTCTTGATAGTGCTGAGGCGACCACGCAGCTCTGCTTCATGTTGCTGCAGTGTTCGCAGTCCCTCTTGTTCGTCCACGTACTCAGGGGCAGGGTCACGGATCCGACAGCGCTCCTCACTCTCATACGCTGCAAACGCAGCTGGGTCCTGTCGACGCATGAGCTCTAACCGAGTCCTTTTAGCGTCCAAATGGAGCTGCATTGTGGAGTTCTGTCGGCGATTAGCACGGTGGAAGCGTTCGGCTTGAGCTTCCTGGTGTTTCTGACACAAAATTTGCATGAAAAACTCGTCCTCACGCTCGGTATTCGTCCGACGAGAGCGTGCGAACACTTCCTGCTGGGCCAGTTTAGTGCACACGGAGATGTCGTACGCGTGCTCGATGTTCTTTCGGATACACAGAGCATCTGCATAAATTGGACGCACACCTTCAGCATAAAGTGTACGCTCCACATTTTGCCACATTTCTCCCAGTTTGAACGTCGGATACTCCTTGGCGACCTCCAGCATCACCTGATCTTGCGGAGAGAGGCTCTCAGTCTCGCAATCGAAAGACACATTGGCCAGGACGGCGTAGATTTTAGACTTCAGGTTCACTTCAGGGTGGATGTGGTGTCTTTCCAAGTTCAAAACGGAGCGAGACGTCTGCTTGTCTTGAGAGAATCCCTGTGCTGCTTTGAGAGCGTCTTTCAGTCGTGCAAAAGCTGGAGACTCGGGTCTACTTGGTGGCAACAAGTCTTCACGTGAAATGTTGGTCTCTGGTGGGATATATAAGGAACTTCTGCAGTGTGCGATCGACTGGAAGGCGCAGTGACGGACATTGGATGAGGCCAAGCTGGTCGTGGACTGTGAAGCTACTAAGTCATTGTCCTTCATAACCTGATCTGTTTTCTTTTCGGCCGCTTCTTCCTCTGCGTAGATGTGAAGTAGCAGTTCATTCGCGCTTGTATTGTAGTTCTCGCCGACTTGATCACAGCGCCACGTTTGGTAAGACGGGATCGCTGCTGGGTGGACAGAAATCTCAGCAAGTGCTGCCAAAGCCTGATGCTTCAGTGCCTTAGGAGCGGCTGCTATGATCGAGAGCAACTTGGGCACTCCGTCGTCGTTTATAAACGCTGTCTCGCTCTCGACATCGCCGACAATACAGGAACGTACTGCGTCTAGAATTCCAATGAGGATATTCTCCTCAAGAACTGGATGAAACTCAAGATACTGGACGAGTGCGTAGATGCCATTGGCACGCCGGAAACGCTCGCGATTTGCTCCATCGTTGCGACACAAACTCGCACACGTGAGGATGGCGTTCCGACGTATTACGAACGTATGACGCGACGGAGGAGTCTCAAAAATGTCCAACGCAGTCTCGATAACTCCAAGTTTACCCATTTCAGCTTGGAGGAACGGGAGGGAGGGCGATACTTGCAGCAGTAACAGCCATGCAGACGCCAACACGTCCTCAGTACCCATGTTAACTTGAAGAAAATCGAGAAGCTTGGCATGTCCACCAATCTCGAAGAAATGCTCAACTACGAACGGAGATACGTGGTTAAGTACACTGAGTGCCGTCCATTGTAACAACTGAAGTTGTGGTGCTGAGTATTTGTGAGAAGAAGACTGGGAAGACACCCTCAAATCTTGTTGGTTGTTGTTCGCAGTTGCATACGACAGCCAGATTTCCACGAATCTGAATTGAACTAGCTCACTTAAATTCGCTTGGTGGTCGCAGGAGATTTGAGCAAGAAGAAACCAGAGCATTTGTTTAAACTCAAAGTCCTCGTCACTGGTTGTCCCGTAGTACTGGTTACTAGCCGTGATGGCTGAAGCTGTTGCGGAGGATTTATCTTGCTGCAATCGTCCAGTTCCCTTGGTAACCGACAGCTCTGCAGATATCGCGTAGGAAAATAGACACGCTGTTAGTCCTGTCGAGTAGAAGAAGTCCAACGAGCGTCGTCTCTTAGCGAGTAATTGTAGGACCATGAGACACTCATTACGCATCTCTTTATCTTGTTGTCGATATCCTCGAGCGAGTAGTAGTTCGAGAACGTGAAGAAGAGCTTGGAACGTGAACTCGTTCCCTAAAAAAAAAGCTGCGTTTCTCAGACGAAAGACTTCCAGCAATTCTTTTCGTGAACCAACTTTAGTGATCGTGGAAATTCTTTCGTGACTTAGTTCCAGCACATTCCATAGAATTTCGAGACAAAGAGGCAAGAGTTCGTCTTGTGGGTCTGTGACGTTCTCGAGAATAAAAACGACGTAGTGGAGAGCGCCACTCACGACGAGAACTTCTGCACAGCGCTGGTAGCTTGAGAGTTCGTATAACAGATCGATCAGAGGAAATAGCAACGCCGACAGCCTCATTTGAATAGGCAGCGCGTTTCCAGTCACCTTGACAATTTCTTCCTCCATGCTGTTGTCGACAAGATTTGATCTGGTTGAGCCAGGTCTATTGACGTTTGGTTCGTCGTGTTCAGATACCGCACCTGAGGTATCACCTTCCCCACGGATAACCTCTGTCTTTACCGCCCTGTTGCTGTTAGTGCCTCGCTGGAGTGTGCTGGGAGCTGATGCTGGTTTCGCAGTGCGAGATGTTGATGGCTCATTCATTCGAGTAATATCTTCTGCCTCCCCTCTAGTCTCGAGAAAAGAAGAGCCTTTGTGGCTAATGGGCGGTGCAGATTGTGGCTTTAGCGGTCGTGCGGCATTGTCTTCATTCTTCGTTGCTGTTTCTTCTCCTTCTACGATACTCTCGTCCAATGCCACTTCTACTTCCCCGTTATCCTCCAAAGGAATGTCATCTACGTCCACTTCCCCATTGCTGAGCAATTCTTCGCTCGGTTGATTGCTAGAGATCTGCACATCGGTACTCATTTGGTCTTCATTGACGTCAGGATCTTGGTCAATTAGTTCAGAATCTTGTGATTGCGATTCCTCTTCTTCTTCACGTTCATCGTCAGGGAACAGATCGTGCATAACGGCAACAATGGCATCAACCGTCCCGGTCTCTTCTAGTACGTTCTGACTGAAAATGCGAGGTGTGAGTCTCAAATCGTCCACCTTCGAGTCAGTTTTGCTGTTCCTCGATTTTGACCCAGGACGAGCCAAACCTGATAGAAAAGTCAGCGCTTTTAAGTGTTTATACCAGCGATTGGTGTCTACTTACACGACCCGGTTGCAAACATCCTGAGTGCCTCTGCTGCTGCAACTTGCACCTCAATGTCCTCAAACGACAAAAGTTCCCCAAGAGTTGGTAACAAATTATAAAAAAGACCTGGATTCGAGATCTCCTCATTCGATTTCTGTCGAATGAACGGCTGTAGCACGGCATCAGTTAACACGACATTTATCCAAGATTATTAACGTAAATCGTCATTACCCTGCCGCATCTCGTGATGGCGAGCACAAGCTGCTCAGCGAATTGCGGCACCCCGTCCACGACTTTGTCACGAAGCAATTGAAGCAGATCACTGACAAGCGGCAATTCCGCTACCTTCCACCTATTTGGAATCTTTAACAAGTCTGATCTCATTGTAAAACACCTCGAAATTAGGCTGAAATACTCACCCGGCCTCGTTCTCGTAGAGGATGTTTTTGGTGAGTGCCAAGTGCCTCGCATGGTTCTTCTGAGTCTGGAGGTCCGCCACAGAAGTAAAAAGCTTGTTGAAACTCTCCCATGAAGAATTGTACGAGAACGTCGCTGGCGGCGTCATGTAGCGACGAGACATTCTACTAGGCTATCTCAAGTCTACGACCTCTCAAGGACCATTTATATTTTTTTATATTTATACTGAGTTTTTATTTACAAAATATTAAAAAGCAACAAATCTAATACCATCAAATTCCAATCCCATCAAATACCAACCAAGTGTATAATTCCAGTCAGTTTTCAGTTCTCGCCGTTAGAGATGGATCGAGCCTTGGAGTCTTCTCGCTTCTCGCTGTTGACGGGGCAAGATCGACGCCAATTGCTTGCCAAGCGAGTGACCACTGCTCACAATTTTATCAATGAAATATGCGCTCGACGAAATAAAGATACTTCGGACATGCAGCTGCCCACTGGAATCCCAGTGCCGTTGTACCCGGGTGAAACGCTGCAGCAGTACACGCGCAAGTTTGAGTATTGGCTGGGACAACGAGCTCAAAGTTTAGCTAAGCTACGCAATGACCCAAGTCGAGAGCGGAATTTTTGGTTTTCATTCGCGTACCAGAGAGCCGAGTCGATTTCCGAGAAAAAGAGAAGCATTCCAAGCAACCCATACAATAATCTATGCTACGAGGAAGAGATTAAAAGAGTGAGGCTCGAGGAGCGTCTACAAGTGGTTACTAGTGGAAGTGCGATGACAAAAGAAGAACTGAGTAGTAACCTCTCGCTTTCAACAGACAGCGTATCTTCACAAGGACCACCTAGAGCCCAGCCTACTTATGATGGATTGGGCTTGCCAGGGAGTCAAACTACCCCAGTTGCACCTCAGAGAAGTAGAAAAGAAGTGCTGGCGCAACGTATACTCCCTCCAGAGAAATTTCTACAGGATATATTGGAACGCAGACAGAATCGCACTCCTCACGAACCGCCGCTGAAACTACGAGAAATACCGGTACCGTTGTATCCGGGAGAAACGCTGCAAGACTATGAAAAAGAATTTCGCTGCTGGGTCTACAAGCACCACGAATCTATCAAATCTCTTCGGTCTCAGCCGATGAAAGAGCGTGGCTTCAGATGTCAGTTCGCTCTCGAGAAAGTAAAAACGAAATCATCTGGGACGAGAACCGGAAACGGCACTTTGTCTGAAATGGATCGCTTCCATGCTCAAAGGACCTACGATGACAAGATGTTATCATCACTGCGTGATACCGCACTGCTATCCACTGCAACTGCAGCTAATCAGTATTACTTTTTACAAAGTGATGGCAATCTGGAGTCTAATACCCGACAAATTGAGAATATGCAAAACACCTCAAACGCAGCAGCGCAATTTGGATCCGAGATACGAGCGCATAGCACAGCTGGTGAAGGTCACTTCCCAGTTGAGAGTAACGGCGAGCAAGTGACAGCTACGTCCTTGCCAGATTCGCTTCCAGATTGGGCAGTTGAGCTCATTGATCGCGTGGAGGGACTTGAAAGACAAGCGATGTTTCTTCAACGAGAAGTCCGTGATCTCCAAACTGCTGCTAGCTCTCAAAGCGACTCGCATGGAGATACGTCGTGTACGAAACCAAGTGACATGAAGAGTGATGCTGGGATGTATCCTGAGCATATTGAGTCCGTGAACAATGAAGCTGATGAGAAGAAGGGTACAAACGACGTGAATCACGTCGTGTATCCCGAAGATATAACACCCTCTACCCACATTTCAACGAAAGACTACTCCGAGATGAGACGATTGGCTAAGGAATATTGTTGCTTGGCCAACCAAGTGACGGTAAATGAGGTGGCGATGGACGATGCGCTTAATTATTTTAAGGAGGCCAATGGAGTTGATGGTTATCAGGCTATCGACAGGCGTAACCGAATTATGACGCTTGTTATCTCGATAAACCAGGAAAAGCGCAAACGATCAGGTGCATTGGTGGATTTACTAATCCACGAATGGTGTGGAGAGGAGGAGAAGTTGCTTTCGATCTTACAAGAAGATTTAGCTACAACTCTCAGCAGCAAGGCCCAACACGATAAACTGGTGGAAATATCGTTGCGACTTGAGGAAAAATACGCCGAGTTGGACAGGTTGGAGGCGCAGTTTAGTGAGCAAGTTCAGTTGGTGAGCACTTTTCCCCCTTCTGTCACGGAAGCCGGAAATGCTCTCAGACTGAAGAAGCTGCGGGAGGTGTCTGGCAAGATATTGGAAGAGCAAACTGAAAGAGATTTGCTGAAGAAGAGTCAACGGGATGTCTTGCTGTGCTTTGTGCGCGGAGATGACCAAGTCCGAAAGATGATGGAAGAGTTATTGCTCCAAACCAGACATTCAAATGCTTGATCTATTACGAAATGTGGGGAACCCAAAGAGCCGAAGCAAGGCGTTGATTTCGTCAAATCTGACAAACTGGCTCATATTTTTTTTTCTTTGTGAGCATTTTTATCATTTTCTTTTTTTTAAAGTTGAATAAAAACCAAGAGAAATATACATTCACAAATCTGAGTAATACTTCAAAGTACAATATTTACAGTTTGCAACCGTCGAAATGCTACTTGACGTACACTTTTTTGCCAGCTTCGTTGACGTAGTACTTGCCTCCACGCGGACCGACGTGAAGTTCTCGCCCGTCGTTGTCGTCTTGGTCCGAATCCACATAGTCGCTGTCGGATGACCAGGCATCGTCTGAAGCAGAGTCTTGGTTCGAGTGACGGACGGGTGTCTTCGCTGCTTTCTTCGCCGTCGCTCGAGGTTGACGTGTCCCCGACTTGTTAGTTTTTCCAGGTTGGCGCTTTGGGTTCTTCTTTGTCGCCAACGGATTCTTCTTTTCCCCACTTTTAGGTCGGTTTACTGGGATCTTTGGTTTCGCGGGTTTAGTGTTCGAGTTCCCGGTATTGTCAGACTGCAACGGCACGGTTGAGGCGGATCGGGCGGCAGCTGCGTGCTTCTTCTTGCTGTGCGAGTGGAATATCTTGGATGCTAAGCGAGAGAAAGGGTTGCGATGCTTCTTCTCACTTGCACGAGGAGAAGACGACGAGTTCTGCACCATTCGACGCTCCGGATCTCGCTTTTTCTCAGGTGACGGAGGAGTTCGGAGCTGATGTGGCACAGGCGACGGAGAGCGATATCTGGATCGAGGAGGACGTCGGAGCTCATTTTTGTCCTTTTCGACATCCCACAAGGGCGGGCGGGCGCCAATATCCAAGCAGTTAAACTGTTCTCGTAAGCTCCTGTATAAATAGTGGCCATTGGCTGCGATCATGGCGTCTTGGAAGCCCTGGTCCTGGGCGTGTTTGGCAATTTGGACCAGTCGATCGTACTCTTTGGCGGAGATTTTGCGTTGCGGTTTGCTTTCTACGTCGGACAGAGACGCACTCTTGGCGTTGATAAGCAACGCGTCTACTTTCTTATGCAGTATTTGGTTGCTAGTTGCCAGCATAAGGCGCAGATTGCTCGGGTGGTTGAGGATTTCTCGCAGCTCCTCGCCCATACGCTGCTCCACCGGCAGGCGCTCGTTAAGCCGGAGCATCACTTCCAGTCCGATATAGTGTGCGGCCTCCAGTTTGTCTTTGTTTACAGCGTCCGAGCCGTCACGACAGGCTTGCTGCTTAGCCGGCATACGCAGGTTATGCGTGTGTAAGGGGATATTGGGCAGAGCGTCCAGCTCGCCTCGGTTGTACATTTTAGCCAGTGAGGACTCGCCGTACTCGGTCAGAGCGACTGAGACCATGGCGATCTCGAGTATCTCGTCTTTGGTGAACATACTACCGCTCTCTAAGGGACCCACGGCGTCCTCGACCCAACGTAGTAGTTCCGCTTTGCTCTTGCTCGTCTTGCGACCCACCTCTCGGGCTAATGACATGTGGTGGTTTTTGAAGTAGTTACGGTACTTACAGAAGCGGTCATGGTCGCTGCTCCGAAGTATCAGTGCACGGCGAGTGTTCTCTGGACTGTAGATATCATCTACGGTAAACTCGGCACGGGCCTCCTCCGAGATTTCCGCTTCCGGCTCCCGTTTGTCATGGGGTTTGGATGCATCTGGACGAGTCTTGCCGTCGGGTGAATGCTGGTGAGAGAGGCGCGAGTGCTTGGACCCCATCTTCGCTACGAGCTGGAAGTGCGGATGTGAAGAACCTGATTCAAAGTATCCTGTAGGCAGATCGCCATGATATCTTGCCGTTATCCTGTCGAAAACAGGATTAAGAATTTTACTCAGGATATTACTTCAAAACAGGATTAAGAATTTTACTCAGGATATTACTTCGAAGTACACAGGATACGACACAGGATAACCATCTTTCATTAAAAACCAGTCCATCATCGAAAGCACATTAAATGCAATTTTTTTTCGCTTTTTGAAAATGTGTCCTTCACTTTACCTGTTTTAAATACTTATTATATAATACTTCTTCAAGCAAACCGAGCACTGAAGTCGGCAGTATCCGACACCGGATGCTGACTAAACGCATAGTGACTGTGGGCGAACTGCGGCAAGAAATATGCCCGCGTTGGGGCAATGCGGCTGCCGTCATCCAGCATTTCGTGGCGATTCCAGTGCCGTTGTATCATGGCGAGACTTTCAATCAATACGCGCACAAATTCGAGCAATGGTTAGCTGAGAGACACGAAAGCTTTATAACGCTACAAAGTGATCCAGCTCGAGAGCGTGACTTCTGGCTCACCCTCGCTTACTTGAGAGTACGAACAATTGACACTGTGAAAGGACAAAGGTGGCACCAGGCTTTGAGTAAAAGATTCCTTGCACACGATGGTGATCGACCACAGTCTGCAGTTGAAACCAAACGAGCAAGCTCAACAGGGCTGACAAACAATCATGAGAGCTCGGAAACGACTCAACGCGCAAATGAAATGGTGCCGCGAGAGGCACAAGCGGACAGGCCGTCATTTACTAAGCCGATTTCGCCACGATCGTTGCTGGCCCAGCGCGTTCTCACCCCAGGTGAAACTGCGGGAAGTAGGCTAAATCAAACCCGTCCCTTGCTGCAGCAGAGTGCTAGTACCGCTGTCAGATTCCAGCTCGAATTTATCAAGCAAACAGATCCTTGGTGACGAGAATCCCGCTACAAGTACTACATGTAGCAATGGTCATTTCGAATCTGGCAGCTTAGAAGGCGAACGTCTCTATTGCGTTGGACAGTTTTACTCATCAACCGCATCTTGGAACTTGAGGATCATGTATTGCAACTCCGACAGGACATTCCTGAGCCAGCAGAGAGTGCAAAGGATGGCAACTCGATGACCGCAACTGATACTTTAAACGAGCCTAGACCTAATTATGAAGAGAAACAGCAATTGACCGACGCTTCCAACCACTTGAGCAGCCAGATTACGACGAATGAGACTGCAGTTAGACGCGCTGGCCCATATCAAAACGATCGTTGAGATCGACGACTTGAAGACTGAGGAATACCAAAGACAAGTCTTGGAACTCGCTGCGTCAATCAACCAGGAGAAAGAGAAGCGTGCGTCCGCTCTCGCCCAATTGATCGTCGCGGAGTTTATTGCGAGAAAGCAAGCGCTACAGTAGTGTCACTCTTACAGGAAGAACCAACGCGAGCTACTCGGAGCAACAGGGCTATGCACGAAAAGTTGGCGGAGATAGCTTCAGAGATCGAGAGAAACAAGAACGAGTTGGATAAAGTGAAGGTACAGCTTGACGACCAGACTCGCTTGGTGAATTCGCTGCCTTCTTCAGCCACTGGGGCGGGAAGAACGCTACGTTTGGAAAAGTCGAGGAGCATGTCTGAAAGGTTGGAGAAGGGAGAAAAACTAGAGCCGTCTTGAAGAGGAACGAAGACAAGTGATGGAACGCTTCGTGAAGAGACATAGGAACCTCCGTATAGAACTTGTTGCGTGATTATTTTTTTTACTGCAGTAGGAGTAACTCTGAAACTTTGAAATTGGGAGTTTCACTCTCAGATTTATGGAGTTTTGTATTTTAATTTCTGTGCCACTTTCTCAAAAATAAAAAAGGTCATTTACTGTACGAAAAAAAAAAAACAATGATGCACCACCAGCCAAGGCATCGCTCCCCGCGCCCCCCGCCCCGTCCACGGGTACATGAGCCCAATCGCGACCTCTTAGCTAAGCGCCTTACCACTGTGAGCGAGCTGCGGCGCGAAATGTTTGACCGATGGACCAAAAAGCCTGCAGGAAGGGTCCAGGCGTCCAAGGCGATTCCAGTGCCGTTACTCGATGGAGAAACCTTGCTACAATACACACGAAAGTTCGAACGGTGGCTTCTGACTAAACATGAGACTTTCGCGTCGCTGCGTGGTGACCCTAGTCGAGAGCGTGGGTTTTGGTTCTCCTTTGCCCATATACGAGCGGATACATGCGGTAATATGGTGGTCGGGAGCAAGGTAGTTTCTCTGAAGCGTGATGCGAAGGAACTTGAACCATTCTATGAATCATCCTCTGACAATTCGAACAAGCGACTTCGCTATAGCGAATCCCCAAGTAATGACCGAGAGAAGTCCTCTTCACAAAGTCTAGAGCGACGTAGTGAGTGGGGAAACACAACCCGCGCTAATCCGACAAAGTCACGCGACAATGAGTTGCATCATGTTGTCAAAGAAGAAGACGAAAGTTCGTCTCGATATGAGTCGGCAATATCTTGTCAAAGTGATGTAAGGCAAAAGAAAAGACATCATAAAGACTCGTTGGAAGAGGGGGAGGTTTCCCCTAAGCAAACCCAGAAAAAATTAGCTACCCGTATCAAAGTGCCAGTGAGTGCACAGGAAGCGTTGAAGTTTCCAAAAGCCGACGTCCAACGTCCATTGGAAACGTATTGGCATCATGAAATTCAGCCGATCGAATTGCAGTTTGAGACAAAGATCGAGATCCGTTCTCACAACACGAAACCCGGAAAGAGCTGTATTACTAGTCGTCCTGCAAAGACTACTATCTCCCCGATATCACCGTTAAATGATGAACATGAAAAGATATATTGTGAGCCGCCCCCTGTTTGGGCGGCGCAGCTTATCAAGCAAGTCCACGATCTTCAAAACCAGGTTGAGCAACTACAAGAAGAAGTCAAGACACTCCGCAAGATTTCTGTGAAACCTTGTTCTAGCTGCGGAGAGTCAGAAGATAAAGACGCGGACACTTTGGAGGCACTTAAGCTGAGCACGATACCTGCAAAAATGGGATCAGCGGCGTTAGCAAAAACATTTTCAGTTGATATTAAAAATGAGGCGCTCGTGAGTGGTGAACACACAGCAGAGACGGAGAATACAACTGGTGTTGAGCAACGGATCCTCGTTCCTAGTGTTGCTGATGGTAGCGTAAAGGATGATCCTGAGAAGCGGAAACTTATGGCGGAATACGACTATATCAACATGCAGATTATGGCGAATCAGACAGCTATCGACGACGCCCTTGTCTACGTGAAGACACTCAAACAAGTCGATGAAGCGAGTGCTGCAGAGCACCACAGTCAGATTATGGAGCTCGTCGTCTCAGTTAATCAGGAAAAGGAAAAACGGGCTTCTGCGCTGGCTGTCTTAATCGTCTATTGCTGGTCAGAACGGCACGAACAGCTGCAGTCTATGCTGGACAAAGATGCTATTGCTTCAACATGCAGCACGGTAAAGCACGAAAAATGGGCTGCAATTTCTTCGCAGATTGAAGAAAAAGACGCCAAGATGAAGAAGCTGGAAGCGCAATTAAATGATGAATTTCAGGCGGTGAAAGCTTCTCATATAGAATCTGACTCAGTTCGGCACTTGAAGTCTCTTCAAGCAGAAAAGGTGGCGCTTGAAGAAGAGCAGCAACAGCTTCTGGTTAGCTTTTTGCAAGATGACGACGAGATCCAAAAACTGGTTAAAAAGCTACTGGCAGAACGCAAGTGTCGGTTGGTATCAACAACATGATAAGTTCACTTTTGAACGGGTACGTACCGTTGTCGAAGTGGCTTCAGACAACTACCAGTACACAATGTACATGTACAGGCCGTGGTCTCGATCAACAAAACAATGTACTGTACTTGTAATAGCATACCGGTACTGTAAAAATGCAAGTACATTTTTGCGTTACAATAGTACAGTAAGTTGCAAAGGGGAACACACGTAAAATTGTTGATCTCTCCCAATTGGCGTGCCTGCGCTCTGCAGCACAAGCCACGACTTCCGGTGTGCTGTCCAAGCGTGTTTTGTCCGTGGAGGCCTTTCGGCGAGAACGACTCGAGCGCTCGAGCGTCTCCCACCTCACTCCCTCGCCGACCAAGGCGATCCCCATTCCTCTGTACCCCGGAGAGTCTCAGCAGCAGTACAGCTACAAGTTCGAGCAATGGCTGATGAAGAAACACATTCATCTCGAGTCAGTACAAAGAGATCCGAAGCACGAACGTAAACTGTGGCTCGCCTTCGCCTTCAACACATTGAACCCGTCGACAACAGAGAGAGTGGCGCCTCAGTGGGTGCCAAAGCGCAGTATTGACGAGGAATACGAGGCTTTCTACCAACGCTCTGCCTCACAAAGCGGCAAACGGTTAAGACGTAACCGATCTATGGACAGCGACAGAAGTGCAAGGAGAGAGAGACCTCCTGCTCCTCGTATTAAAGCGAGAAGAGAACGACAATCGACTAGCTCGAGCCATCTAGATGAAGAGGACACGACGCATGTTCCGCACTCATACTCGAACACTAGACCAATCGACGGACGAGATGAAATCCTAAACTCGTGCCAAATGCCTCCACGTTCTTACTGTTCGCTGAAGGCTTGTTCGCCTGTACCCAAGCCTCCAAGTGATAAAGCAATGCAACCACGAAGTCGAACGGAGATAGTGACAGAAAATTCGACACCTATACGACGTCTAGTGTCTCTATCAACGAGTATATGCAACAAATGAAAGGACCAAAGCAGAATCGACGCACAAATGGCAAGTTAGCCAAGATCCCCATGCCGTTATTCTCAGGTGAAACAATGGACGATTACGAGCATGAACTTGGTCGCTGGCTTCATCATCGACAGCCTTCAGTGCTATCGCTGCGGTTCAAGCCGCTCAAAGAGCGATTATATCGCCATCAATTCGCAAACCAGCGAGTTTTGAATAGGACAGCGTCCGTCAGCGCTAAAGAGCTGCACACACAGGAGACACGGCCACAGTCTTTACTACCAAAAGCTAAGAGTGATGTTCAAGAAGCAAATGAACCCACTGGGTCTCGTGATCAAGCCAAACACAACGCTACAAAGGCTACATCATCAACTGAACTAGCGGCAAAGACGTCGCTGTCTCAGAAAATTCCAGAGATTAAGGCCGCAGAACGTACTTCGCACCAATCTTCATGTGCTCTCTCTCAAACGCGCACAAATAAAAGCGATCAAGTACCAAACGTGAGCCACCATAGTCCAAACACGCCCACACTCGTCCCACCCGCAAGATGCCAAAAAGATATACAAGACAAACCGAGACAAAGGAGACAAAGCCAGAAAAGGAAGACGCTGTGCATGCACCGCATGCAATAGCTGAAATTCCTGTAGAACTACAATGCTCCGACTTAAATCTGATGAAGCCTCAGAGCCATGCGAAGAAACACTGCCAAGCTGGGCATTACTTTAAATAAATAATGTGCTGAAACTCTAAGCCAAAGTTGAGAAGCTACAGATACAAGTTGACCCCTATCCTTGTTGCCACGGCGCTGATCCACTTGACCCCCGAGATACTTTACACGTATCAATTGTCAAAGGTGCAACTTCCATGAGTAATGGAACAGTTTCGAATGACAAAAATGACAACAAGCGCAACGATACTCACACCAAGCGCGAAAAAATGATTGGAAGTGGCGCTGAAGAATTACACGACATGGCGATGCCTTTGTCAGAGACGAAGTAGGGCGAAATTGTCAATGGATGTAAAGAAAAATCTGTTGAGAAGCAACCAACTTGTAAGGATATTTATGAAGAAGCCAATCGAATCCTGGCAGGCGCCGTTCAAGCCCGAGTCGATGAAGACTCCAAGATGCGGCACTTAACAGAAGCGTATAACCATCTGAACATTCAGATTTCGATGAACGAGACGGCTATTGATGACGGTCTTGACTGCATAAAGGCCATCAAAGATGTGGATGAGGCCACTGCGATGGAGCAACACAGTCAAGTAATGGAGCTGGTTGTCTTGATCAACAAGGAAAAGGAGAAGCGTGCTAGTGCACTGGCTGCTTTGATTGTCTACTAGCCGAGCGCCGCCGCTACGCGGCGGTAATTTCGGTTTTACTCCAGATTTTTGCCTTCCCGCCTTCGCTTCGCTTCGGCGAGATAATCAGTCCAAATCCTCTGAGTCCCATATATTCCTAAATCGACTTCTTTAATTTCATAAATCTGCGTTTCATTTACTACAAAATGCTGAGCTCCCAGTAAGCCGTGTAAATATTTCTACCGGTACAAAAGACTGAGCCCCTAGCATCATACTTACCATGCTCATAAACGATTACGCTAGTGATCTTGGCAAAATCTCTTTATTGTTGTTGGCTATCACTGTACCTTAATCTTCCACCCAGAAGCACCTGCACTTCAGTCTAAAATCGCTAAATAATATATTTAGTTTAGCGTCGTGCTCGATTTCACGGGCCGTTTCTAAGGACCTAGATTGCATCAATGCAAAGAATATCTGTCCAGCTTGCATCAAATACCCGCTTGTACTGCCTGGTTAAGCTTGTAATAAACTGACTATTAACCACTTCGCAAACCAAACTCGCTACTTTGAAAGAAAATTAAAAGTGCTACAGTTTGAATATTTAATAAAAATATTCAAGCTGTAGCATTTTTTTATGCCTTGAAGTGTGTTCATTTTGTGCTGATTCAGAATTAGTCATTAGACACTTTAATCTGTGCCTGTTATGGTTATAGCCTTTGATATATAAAACGCAAGACGCCTTGCTGTTGTTGTTGTTGACGGCGGTATTTTTATTTGATACTTAATTGATGATTCCAGGCTCTAAGTTGATTAACGTTTCTTTACGGGCCTACTTATAATAACCATAATTGACACCTCTCACTGTTATCTTACCGCTGCATATAAAACCTTATTCTACGCCCTTGTCGGCAACGCGTCTACCTATTAAGAAGTATCAGAATTTTATTGTCTAAAAAACCGCTTAGGAAACAATGGTCAAGTTCAATTCGCTTACAGTAGTAATTGTCATCAGCACATATAACTTATTTTTGTTCACACGTCAATCTAACACTATCTATCTTTGTGGATCAAGTGACAACGTTTATAAGCACAGTTTTGTTCTTACGGCCAGTCTACACGACCGGCTACTGCTGTACATGTAACATGTACGATTTAGCAATACCAGAAACCCACTCAGATAACTTATTAATGCTAATATTTTTACAGTAAATATATTGAAATTATCATTTTATTCAGTGTAACACGCAGATCCTACTGAGTACAGAGTATTTAGTATACTTAAACCATGTCCTCGGAAACACGCATGCTTACGTGTACGCTAAGCACCCTGCCCTCCGTTTACTGTAGTATTCAAATATCAATAACAACTTGCATTATGAAAAAGTATATAATATTTAAACGATGCCGCCTTCGGATAATGTATAGCCTTGTGCAAATCCCCATATGTAAACTGGGAAACACATGCATTTATTGATGTCAACTACACCATCTAGTTTTAACCAATTGAAGACACCTTCGCGGCGCTCGTCAGCCAGTAGAAATATTTAAATTATTTTATCCAATGATTTGTCCGGAAAAGCGTGACAGGCACGACAATTTAGTGTGACGGACAGACAGGTTGCTGCAGTAGATGTTTAAGACTAGCCGTTCGCCGCCGCTACGCGGCGGAGGTGGCAGGCTGTAGTCCCAGGGGAAATGGGCTCACGCCTTCGCTGCGCTTAAACATGTTTTATGTAAACGTTATGTATTAAATGCATTTGAAATTGAACATTCCTACTCCGAACCAAAGATCTGTCTGTAGACAATATTCTGGGCGTAGACCCCATCCTCCTCCTCCAGCTTTGGGTACTCGACCAGCGCCTTGAATCTTGATCTTGAAGTAACTCGCGACATCGCAACGTACAGCTGCCCGTGGGAGAAGCAAGGCGTAGCAAGATACAGCCCCAAGTGCTGCACCGTTTGTCCTTGCGCCTTGTTAATCGTCATCGCAAAGGCCGGTTGGACAGGAAACTGCTTGCGTCTCAAATGAAACGGAAAGCTCCGAATGTCTCCGTCACTGATGAAAACAATGCGGGGAATCAACACATGTTGCCCTTGTCGCTCACCGGTCATGATTGTGGCGTGGATGACATGTGGCTTGAGGGCCACAATTCGAAGCCGTGTTCCGTTGCACAGCCCTAGATCTGGATTCAGGTTCCGCATCATCATGATAGGCATTCCTACCTTGAGGGTCAGCTTGTGGGGCGGCATTCCACTGATATTCATCGAGTGGAGTACCTCCTGCTCGAAGAAATTGCCATCACCGTCGTCTTGTACAGAATCGGAAGACATGTATTCCCGCGCCTGTCCAGTTAATCGATCGGTCACCGCTTCATTGATGCGGTGCACGATTGCGTTCGTGGTCGTGAGGATCGTTCGGTTAGCGAAATACTCGTCGGTAGCAACCTCGGGGTTATTAATCTCGCCATACATCTCGTCGATGATCCGATCCATGCCTCTTGGAATAACGCCCGGACGAATTTCCTGGTCCTCATCCTCAGGCACAGGTGGATTCTCAATCAGCATATCGCGCGGGATCTTCATGTAATCGTTTCCTAGGGAAGGGTTTACATCATGCCTTCCCTCCCCGACTTGCAGCAGGAACTCGGAGAACGCAGCCATTTCCTTAGCAGTGTCTGCAGTATCAGCTGTGCGCACTCGCATGTTTTCCGTAAGACGGAACGTCTGGAATTGGGGCCACAGCCTAGACGACTTGAGGCAAGCGTCAATTGTCTCGACGGGTGTTCCATTCTTAACGACCGGGAGAATCTGGCGGAAATCTCCCGAAAGTACAAACACTTTCCCCCCAAAAGGCTCGGTATCGTTGTCAAGTATGTCCCGCAGTGTTCGGTCTACTGCCTCGAATGCGTGGCGATGGGCCATAGGTGCTTCGTCCCAAATAATTAAACTTGCATGCTTAATCAACTCCTGAATATGGGAGTTCTTCCTGATACCGCACGTCGAGCTCTCGTTCAATTTCAAAGGGATCTTGAATGTAGAATGAGCTGTCCTACCACCCATGAGCAAGAGCGAGGCAATACCGCTAGACGCCACAGCGATGGCGATTTTCCCCGAGAGTCTGACTTTGGCCAGTATGTTTCGAAGCAGTGTAGATTTTCCAGTACCACCCGGGCCATCGACAAAAAAAAACTTCTTGCCTTCATCCGGGCATTCAACCGCTTCAATAATCTGGTCGTAAGCCACCCGCTGACTTTCGTTTAGCTGATCTTCTGTGCTTACAATTGCCTCCAAAGATGACGCGTCGTATCCAGTCAGCTCACGTCGTAGTAATCCGTTTTGGCGAAGCGCTTCACGAATCAATGTTGGGAACGACCCCAACTGAGGAAGCTCGTCGAAGTCAGCTACCGCATACCCACTCGCTTGAAGTAGTTCTTGAATGCTCATCAGCGTTTCAAATTCGATCAACGCCGACTTAAAGGGGTCCATCAAAGCCTGATGTTTGCGTGCGAAGTCTTGGGAAAGATCCGCGAAAAACCGATCCCATAGAACACCAACATTTGCTGGAGCTGAATACACCAGAATGATGACGAAGAGCTGGCGTAGCTGATACGGCATTTGGAACTCAGCTGCCTCCCTCAAACACGAAACCCACTCGTTATCATTCTCCAAGTAGCCAGCTTCCCGCGCCGCAATTTGGAATGTGGGGCAGACAATCCCGTTAACCGTTCTCAAGTCTTCAAACGATGTTGGACCTCTACGCTGACAGAGCAGTAGCCGAAGATAGAACCGCTCCATGTCTCGAGGAGACACATGAATCATGCGACCAACCGCAGCTTGATACTGTTTCCTGCGAACCCACCTTTTCGGTTGCCCTTTCTCCGGCGCTTTCCAGCAGAACTCTTTAGGGATGTCCTGATACAACATCGTTCTGGCAATATGATTCTGAGGTTCTTCACTCGCACACAACTCAAAGAATCTGGTCAGCATCGTGTGACTACCACGTTCCAAAACCGCCTCCGGGTTTTCCGTTTCGCGGAAGCAAACCGTCTGCCCTGACTCGAGATGAACCGTCAGCTGTGTCACCGCATGGGTTTTCCCCTGAATCGTGAAATCGAGCAGGCGCATGCAAGCTTCCACCGGAGAAATGTAACGGGCGCTCAAGAAACGTAGAATCTCATTTGGTTCTCGACGCGCACTTTGCTGCCCTCCTCGGACTTCTTCCACAGTGAGTATAGCCATGTCGGGTCCTTTGTACACATACTTGTACAGGTATTTAACCGCAGTAATATCCGTGCACACTTCCACATTGATGTGGCAGTTGTACTTCTGGGATAAGTACGGGTTGTACGGTACAACCCACTGGTTGATCGTAGCATTGTCGTATTCTCTGCCTTTGAACTTTAGAACACCTTCTTGCCGTCGACGTCGTCTGTACACTGGATATCCGTTGGCATTGGCTTGTGTAACTTCTGCTAAGGGCTTCGGATATCCTTTGGTGCACTTGCCGTCCTTCATACACGCGCAGGAAGGGTTTGCAGGCCCACATGGACCATGGAGCATGCATGCCATGACCGTATCATACAGCTGAGGGTTTGTATCCTTATCTGGGATCTCAGCGCATACCATCTTGTCTACGATCTCGCGCGTTCGAGGTTTGTCTTCGTCAGCCAGAATAATCAATACGTGAGCGTGGGGGAGCCCTCGTTTTTGAAACTCGACAACGTAAATCCGCGCGCGCACTCGCCCCAGAACGCCTTGGTTTAAATCGTCAAGCGTCGCTTGCAGTTTCTGCTGCCACACGCGAGCCACGATGTCTGGTCGATCTTGAGCTGTCTGAATATCGGAAGGTATCGCTTCAAGAATCTCGTCCCACTTAGGGTTGCACGTTTCCGTCAAGAAGACGTCGGGCCGTCCATACTCCCGAACAATTGCCATCGAATCTTGATACGACTTGTACATGGACCGCGGGCTACCCAGGTGCGAAGCCGGTAGTATGATACGCTTGCCAACCTGATTAAGAAAGTGGGTAGGTCGTCCTCTGT